CTGCTGAGTCTCTGCTAAGTTTGTTGTAAAGCTCGCACTGGTGTTCAGGTACACGTTTAAGCAGCCTCATTCATGCCCCCATCAGACGTTTGGTGTCTCCTGGGTTCTCAGTAGCTTAGAACCAAATCCACCTCGTACCATTAGGCTCTGTTTTCCAAAAAGGCCTGTGTTCACAATGCCACAGGCTGATTATCAATGCTGAACCCCTCATTGACTTCACACATGTGAGCTTCCTCCCCTCTCCTAGACGCCAAAACCAGAACCCAAACCATATCTGTACGTGCCTAGCTTTGCCAACAAGTCGACATGAAAGTCTGATCCACTGGTTATTTTTTTTAACTTGTTTTCATGATTATCTCTCTTCCTAATCACACCTCTCTCATAGGATATCACGAGTGTAAGTATGCTGCTCGTTTGGGCTTTTACATTCACCTTGCAATGAATCCTTTTATTGTTTGATTTAAATGGAGCACTAAACGACCTAAATGCAAACTCTCTTTGAAACCGTTCCCTCTTGTAACTTTATCGTCTCAAATGCACTAATTACAACTAAAAGAGAAGCTTTTGCCGTGTTGCTTTTTTTTTTTAAATAGATTAATTTCAACAAAACTTGACTCAATTTGAGGTGGTGGTTGGCGGGGGTGGGTTCCACATTTAACTTTTCCTTTTATTACCCTTTTTAACTCCATTGTGTTGGTGCATAGAGGCTCCATTGTGCTGGGAGTGGTGCAGTAACATAATAAAGACATTTTGTGCTCCAAAGGGCATATAGCTCCTCTTATCACCCAGCTCCAAAATCCTACCCATCCTCTTGCTTAGGGGCTACTCCAAGGTCAGCCGTTTTGTTTAGCCTGATGCTAATGGAGCTAAGTAAAGGGACCTGACCCTGTATTCTGTGATCTCCTCAGTATGCCGATGCCTAATTCAATGGGAACAAACACTCATAACCTGTTGTTAGGACTAAGTTGTGTCCTTCGGTGTTGGCATGAATGCTACTGACGTGCTCTGGAGCTTCGAAGGCATATTTCAAAGATGAGGTTTCGCCCTTAACAGTTTGGGAAAGGAAGCTCTTAACAACAGATCAATAAGGTTTTTTTGGGGGTTTTTGCCACCCCCTAGCAAAAATGACTTTGTATGCACAGAGATGAATAGGGATCAGGCCACTTACACTGGTCCATGTGCTTCAGTTTAGAGCTTTGAAACTGTCCAGGGGCAAGGAACCCAGCTACGTTCAGGCGGTGATGTAGGCTCTAGCTTAAACTTGACATGAGAATATAAGGAGTGCCACACTGGGGTAGGCTAATGGGCTGCATAGCCCAGTATCCCGTTTCCGACAGCAGCAGGAAGGGATGCTTTAGAAGGAGAGCGTAGCGATCGATCTGCTTTCATGCCCTCCCTGGCATCTGCCACGCTTGGCATAGAGATGCCAGAGGATACATCCTTGACTGTGCTGTCGAATAGCTATTAATGGATCTGTCATCCTTTAATTTGTCTGGTCTCTTTTTGAATCTTGCTGCCTATATATCCTGCCTCCCCATCCTCCTGTGGTTGTAAAGGATACCATATCCAGAATAAAACTGTCCAAACCATGCCACTTGGTCACCTCTCTAAGGATGTCCCAGAATACCATATTGCACCATGAGCACGTGCAGATCAGCCAGGGGGTCCCACTATACTTTTACACAGCTGCTGGAATTGGTGCTAATTGCACGATACCCCAGACATCTAAAACTCCCATCCTGCAGTTGATATCGGCACGATGGCAATGGCTCGAGCCTGTCAACCCAGCTTGGGTAGCAGGATTGGTAATTGGATAGAAAAATGCAGTCTCCTTTTATTTTTTTTTTGCTTCGTATGGCATACCTTGGAATAGCCTGTGCTGGTACGGTCCCTCAGCTTTCCTCCCGAGCCACGGCTTTTGCCATAGTGCTGCACAATACGCTGTCAGCAGCCTGTGATTTTTGGCATGGCTGGCTGGCTGGCTTCTTGAGGGAGCTAGTTCCTTCCACCTGCTAACACCCATGTTATTGGCAAATATTGAACAGGGTTTCCTAGATCCCGGTGACTGCTCCCTCCAAACCCCCCCCAAATTTCTGATAAACTTTGACCTCACTCCAAACATAGTAGCTCCAGCTTATCTGTCTTCACCACCGCAATCGCAATGTAAATTGATGCACTGATTTAATCCACTCACCCATGGTGGCCCTGATCCAGCAATTTTTGACTCATGCCCACTGTCCTTTGCAAACTCTTGGAGTCCCCTTGGGCATAAAAAGTTTAGAAACACTTTGAAGGTAATTGGTGCCAAAATAAATGAGGCGGAGTGGCCTACTGAAGAGGGATTGGGCCAGCACTCGGAAGTGCCGGACCCTGCCCTTGGCCTGTTCCGGTAACCCTAGGAAGGTCATGTCATGTCACCATGTCTTGATTTCCCCACCTGTAAAATAAAAGGAATAAAGCAGACTGCTTTGTAAAGGGTCTTGAAACCCACTGAATTCATAAAATGCTGCAGAAGAGCTCGGGGAGCTTACAAGAGCTAAGGGCACATTTCAGAGGTTTGGTTTGTGTTTTCAATAACTCAAACCCTAGAAATTTGGAAAAGTGGCAGCAATCCAGTGACTGAAGTCCCTGTTTCCCAGTCACTGCAATGTCTAACTTAGGCAGCCAAGTCCAAAAAAAGTAAGAACAAGTGATGTGGCCAGTGACAGGTGCCTTTGGCAAGCTAGGTTGGGAAAACGTCGTTTACAAAGGAGGATGTTCTCCTAAAACAGGAGCTTCTCAGACCTAGCAGGTTGGGTTTTATTCAGTCTGTTTTCATCTGAAGCATTATGTTCATCAGGTGCTGACTGGTCCCGTAGGGTGTGGACTTTAGCTGGCACCTGCCTCCACTGTCCTATCTGCAGTAAACCATGTCATGAACGCATTAACCATGTTTTGTAACAAGGCGTGGCGCCCCCCAGATATGCATATCGCACTGCAAGCATGCATGAACCTGAAGCTTCGCATGCTGGAAAGAAACGTAGCTGCATTTGTTTCACTTTCTGATCCCACCTGTCCATCCTCCCCACGTCTTTTTAATGCATCAGATCCCTGTGTCACAAGGAGCCTGGCATTAATGCGTGTGCTTGTCTCTATGGTAGTGTAAGAGTCATGTTGTAGCTGTGATGGGCCAGACATTATGTGAGGGGCAAAGATTGCTTCGGTGTTATCTTTTATTGGACCAACTGTGTGCTTGCCCTAAGAAATCTTTGCCGGTCTTATTAATGCAGTTTATATTCAGACTTTTTAATCAGTGCAGCTGAGAACATATTTCTGGATCAGGGAAGCTCATGCAGGAACTCCATGACTAACACTGCATCATAATATTTTAAACTCGCAAGTTGGGAACGTCACAGTCCTCCCGCTAGCTTGGTAACTTAGCACATTTTAAGCAATAAATGTTAACACCGTGCACCTCGTTTCTGAATTTCCTGACCCCCGTGCAGTTGAAACAGCAGCTGTAGGGCTGCGGTATGATCACTAACCATTTAACAGGCCTTTATGGGTATAACAAACAGAGCTGAGGTGGGGAGGAAGGACGCAGAAGATATATATAGCTTAGGGAACCACAAACCTAGACAGCGCTTTGGCATTATTGGTTGTGCATAAGCCAGCATCGTGCAAGGAGATTGGCGCTTTCCTCCGATTGCGCAGCTCAAAGAGCAGATCATTTCTATAATGCATGGTGTTAGTTACAGTGGCTGCATGCTCGTATTAGCATGCAGAGCATCCAAGTAAGCGATAGGAAAGGCCGTCTAGATCCTGTGCCACCCCTCTGGCAATACAAGGATATCATTGCTGCCCTGAGGACACCTCAGACATTAAGCTACTCTTTGAACTGAACTATCCTGGAAAGCAGACTTGTGGCTCTGTGATTTTGAGGTGGGATCCCCAGCAAAAGGTTTGTGTTGGAAGTGTCCTGACTTGTTCTTTCCTCTCCGCACAGGATGAAAGACACCAGCCGCAAGAACAACGTCTTTGCCCAGTTCCGGAAGAACGAGAGGGACAAGCAGAAGCTGATAGACACTGTGGCTAAACAGCTCCGGAGTCTGATCAATAGCCACCATTTGTGAGAGCCAGCAGCTTGGGATGAAACTCTGGGGTCTCCAGCACGTGCCAATCTCTGCACTGTGGCCACCAGGCACCAGGACTTTGGGATTCATGTTCCAAGAGAATATGTGTATTTTTTTATTCACGTGTATAGTATTCGAAAAACCTACCCTTCCGAAGACAGAAAAATTGTTGCTAGACAAAAAAAAATAATCAAGGGATCGCATCGCAGCATGGGTTTCACAGCTGCAGCAGAAGTGATGCCAGCAGATTCCACTGCAAGCTCCTGTGTTCAGGGGTTTCTCCCTTGACCCTAAAGACTAAAGCTGGAGGTAAACGTTCACTCCAAGATGAATTTTTTTACTAACCAAATTCACAGAATCAGTTTGACTTTAACTTATTTAAGAGCAGGAAAGGAAAAAAAAAAGAAAGAAAGAAGAAATAAGGAGTGTTGTAGTTTCGGAGGCTTTTCATGCTCTTCAGTCTTTCTGCTAGGCATGAAAGAGTGCAGCTTGTACATTGGGCATCTTTAGGGGAAAAGGGCAAAGAGAGGCGAAACCGTTCCCTTCTGTTCTGTTCCTGCGTGCGCTCACGTCGTGCCGCATTGGCAGACTCCCTGCAGGTAGGTGGCTAGAGAAACGCAGGCAACAGATCTGTCACGTCTGGCGGTGGGTCTCTCAGAAGGGACAGGCATTGTCATCGGGGATAACTCTTGGGCTGCTGCTGTTTTTGACAATGATACTCAGCCCAGAGCGACTTGAGTGCCCCGCTGTCATCAACTGGAATTGGAGACAGCCTCAGAACACGCCTACTAGGATGTCCAGTCCTCGTGGAGCCGTTTTTGCAATGGGAAGTTATTTCACTGTGATTCAGCATAGTCCTGTGATGTCGGCAGCAGTGGGTGGTGGGGGGAACCCAGTCAAATGCATTGCACAGATGAAGTGGGACATTGCAGCGTGATTTTTTGTTTTGTTTTGTTTTGGTTTGGTTTTTGTTTTTTGGGTTTCTCCTCTCAACTGGTCTCTGCTCTCCACCCGGTCTGCACGCCTGGAGGGATGCAATGAGATCCTAATGACTGGAGTCTGTTTGCTAAGTGCTTCTCCAGCCCGATCCACGGAGCACAGGAGCGCTGTTGCTAGCGTAACTCTGTCCACGACCGAGAGAAGACCTGAACAGACTCTCGTGGACTCGCTGGAGCCACGTGCAGCTCTCAAGCAACCCACTGGATCAACAATTCACTGGGTAAAAAGTGCCTAAGAGCAAAATTCTCCTCTGTTGTCTGTAGCAAGAATCAGTTCCATATACACCCTCCTGTGCCAGGGAAGCCAAGTGGCGTGCTATGTACAGAGAGATTTACTCAGCCTGATAAAGAAGAGACTTTTGCCCTTGCCTTGTATTTACCCTCTTAAGTGTAACTACTCTAGGGGTAGCATTTCTAAGGGCTCCCCCTTTCCTATCAAGTCCAGATGCAAACTATTCTAGCGCTAGCGAGTCATTTTTTTCTATAAAAGCAGGCATGCCAAGCTCCACGTTCATCTACAACTAATAGAAAGGGAACCAATAAGGTCTTGAATATATACATATCCACATCAGTAGTGCTGCTTCGACACATAAGCAAGCTTAGCACTTTTTTTTTTTTTTTACAACTATGTAAATGTGTTGGGATTTATTTGTTTTGTTTTTAACTCGTACGACTGTTGTTTTTTGGAAGCCAAAGCCCCTTTTCTGACCTGAGAGAGAGATTTCCTTTTGCTGCCTTTTCCTCAAAAGTCTTGTGCTGGTGGCACTAGTTCACATCCCATTTCATCCACATGCTCATTAGTCCCTGATGGGTGTGTGGGTGGCTGGTTCTCCAGGCCCACGTTCCAGCCCACTTTATTTCCACCATGCGCATCGGTGGACTGATGTCTTTGCATTTCCTTGCTACCGTGTGCCACTTATTTACACACCAGTTGCACAAGGTGCGCAATTTTGCATACATCTATAGCAATGGTAATTTCTTCCCCACCCCAATATTCTCAGCAATGCACACTTTTCCAAGGGCACCTATTACTTTTCCAAAGGCTAATAGCCAGGGTTGTAAGCAATAAACTTCTATCACTGCCTCCCTGTCCTGGCTACATCCAGGTGATGGGACAAGTAGGTAGTGGAGGAGTGGGCACCCGGCAAGTGTCTGATGCAGATGGGAAGGGATCAGTGGTCACATAAGCTGAGGGACCTAAAAACCAAAGAAGCAAATGCTTTCCTCAAAGCAGGAGCAGAAGAGCGGAAGCTGGCTTGGCTCTGTTCACACCCGATGACGCCTCCAGCATGACCGCTTCATCATCGTCCGCCCAGTCCCCAGCCATGCACCTTCCCTAGTTCAGGAGACGGCATCCTTTTGTCCCTGCTTTTGCAGAGCTGTGTCCCGTGACTACTAGGTTTGAGTCCACTAGACACCTAAAGGCCACAAAGAGTAATAGGCACTTTAAAATACTGCAGAACTGAACTGCTGCAGCTGCTGGCAACACTATCATTGAGCATCAGCAGGCATGACAAAGAAGGCGCTCTGGCATTTCCAGATTTTATTAGTGGGAGGGTAAGCTGTCAAATACAATTTTTAATAGCATTTGTCAGCCTCTGACTTTGCTGCCGGGTAGGGTGGCGGCTTTGCGGCACTTATTATTTTCCTCCACTCCTTGAGAGAGGATGGGGGGGCAGTGGGAAATGCCCTCCGAGGTGTAGGGCACCTTTGTGTCGGCTCAGCCCGGACGATGGGGAAGGGTTATCATGCCGCAGGAGGGGTGAGCAGTGAAAAGGCAGCCAGCTGTTAAGATCCTGCTGCAGGCTTTAGACTTGAGAGGGTGTTCCCAAGAGTCATCTCCATTTTTTCATTGGGAAAAGGTCTGCCATCAGTTTGTTTAATCATTTTATTTAGAAAGAAAACACATCGTTAGCAGAGTCAGGGACCCTCCATGCCCTGAATCCAGGCTCTCTCTGTCCTGTCTCCAACAAGCTAAATTTAAAGAGGAACGAAATGGGATTGCCAGGCTTGCACGGGATTGATTTCCTCTCTCTCCGCAAGCTCTGCTTGGAGAGGCCACGCAACATGTCTGAACCAGGATCATGTGAACCATCTCTGGCTCTTGCCTTCAGGACTTTCAGTGGGGAAATGCAGCCCCTGCCAAGTCGGAGATTCAGTGAGGCTCCGGTTTCGGGAGGTCACCCACCTAACCGCAAGTCGCATAACAGGGATGAAAAATGGAATTTCGGTGCTCTGTTCCCAATTAACTTTCTGTTCCAAGAGATGCAGCCCTGTCCCTTCAAAATAAAATTAATCTTTTAAACAGATTGCTTAAAAAGCCCTGGAAGACATGTCAAATCCCCTCTAACGCTCTTACTAATGATTTGTATCCTCTGATACGGATGGTATTGCTTAGGAGGGAAAGATTGTTATAGCTGTGCGATAAGGAGGCGGGGGTGGCACCCATCACCGTAATTAATAGGCCCCAAGCCACTTTAAACAAATGATGCTGCTATTAACCCACCCGTGGACATAGCTGAACTTTGCGTAGTTTTACGACGGTTTGAGCTAGAGTCATTCTCCGCTTTCCCCCCACCCTGATGTCTTAGCATCCATGAAAGACAGCTCCCCTTGCTCAGAAGTGCCCAGGTATCTCCTTCTGTAACCTTCAAGCGGCTGTGTAAATTAAACCGGCGACAGCCTCCCTGTTGGGGATGGCTCTAGTCTTTAATGCACTAACTTAGCAGGCAGAATTAGACTTCAGCACGTGTGCGTCTTCGCTCCGGTGCTGGGGCTCCTGTCAGATGCTCTTAGCGATTTTGCACTTTGTTTTAAATCCAGCCACGGTTTCTGTGCTGGGTACGTTGCCCAGGGCGTCGTTTGATGTCCTGCTGCATTTTTTTGGTTTTTTGGGGTTTTTTTTATTTTAAATTGGGCTCCAGCATCACTTTTTTCCATGGCTAGGGTGTTGCCGTGCCATTCAGAAATGGTTTGCAGGGTGCCAAGTGAGGGTGCTGATGCTCAGAGCATTGCGAGTGCCACTGGGGACAGCTGTGTGGGGAGGAGAATACATCGCCGTATCAGGCCTCTGTTAGCTGGGACTGGTCACCTTGGCCTCCTTTGCATCGCTCCCTTGAAACGTGCTGTCACCAGTGGAAACCAAGAAGAACAAGACTTCCCACTCCACAGCAAAGCCGTCCTTAGCATGGCAGGACTTCTCCAGCATCAGGTGTAATTGCAGAGGAGGTGGGCAAGCGGCAGTGCGCTTGCAGCGGGGGGTTATTTTCAGCTCTCCCAGTGGAAACCATGCTCATCAAAGGCTTGGGGGTGTTTATCTCCTTTTCTTAAGCAGTAAAAGGTTCTGCTGTGTTATCTCCATCCCTCTCCCTATCACTTGCGTCTTACCTGGGGGCTTCCCTTTTTATTCGCTATCTAGGTTTTTTTGGAAGTGGTTCTAATAGGTGGGACTTGCAAAGAGATGACACCGCAGAGTTTGTTTGTCTCGCTCAATGGGCTCGGTCCATTTAATTAGATACACACCTGATCGAAGAGAGCTCCTGCAAGGCCTCTTTTGTCACCTGGTTTCTTGTGCCCCCCTGCCCCACCCTGGAGCAGCTGGAGTGTAAACTGAGTTTTATCCCAGCTCTTGCAAGGCAAAGGGTTGGTTTGATATCAAACCCTCTCGCTGAATGTCTGACCAATAGATCCATGATGGGGAGAGGCTCTTGATGCTGTGAGCCGCGAAGGATTTTTCATGGGTTTGGTTCTTAAATCTGACATGGTTTAATGTGGGTGATGAAGTCAGGAAACACAAGGCAAAGGGGTGAAGCTGGTTAGAGTAGGTTTCACCTGCAGAAGATGCTTGCTGTTGTTTCCTGTGCGTTTTTAAAGCCACCCATCCCTTTTCCACCGCCAACTTCCAAAGCCCCGCTTACAAATGCTGTCTTGGAAATGCAGCAATGAAGATCCAGGCTAGCAAGCACGATGCTCATCGGGGCCCTTCACTCAACATAGACAAGGACACATTGTGAGGAGGACGATGGCAGCTAGCCATGGTTTAGACCCGGTTCCTGGCTGGGCTCAATCATAAGAAGCTCCATCGGTCTGATTCTCCGTTATCTCCGAGCCCCACGTGGCTCTTAGAGAGATGGGAAGGGGCTTTAGTACAGACACAGACACACACATCTCCATACCTGCACTCCAGTTCCTCTGGATTTAAAGGGACTTCTAGGGACGGCAGGGCAAACCCTTCGCTCCAGATACTTCTGTGTTTGCCAACATAGTGCTTCTACTTTAATTGGGAAGGGCGTCTGCACTGAATTGCTTTCTCTTTGCTTGTCCTGATTTGACCTCCCCCTCCCCACCAGCATACACATGTGTGCCCACCCTCACCGGTGTCCATTGGCTGCTTGTATTTTATTGGGGAGGGAGGGGATCCTTTGTGAACTAACGTGGTGAAAACCGCTTTTTTTTTCTTTTTGCACAAGTCATTGCACAGTAATGGGACTATTTAGTAAATTAGGTTTAACTTTTTAAAGGGAATATTATTATTATTATTATTTTCCTTTAAAACACACTAGCGGAGCTACTGATTCAAAATGGACTGCATGGTTTACAGATAAAATTGCATTAGAAATTTAGCATGTTGATTTTGACTGTACATCTATCCTATTGTAACTTCTATTAAAACAATACATCGCATACATCTGGCTAAATACATGCTTGCCTTCCGTGCGCGTCTCTGAATCGCTGCGGATGGGGAGCAACCTGCCATGGGCTAAAGGCAGGGACTTGGGGACTTCCCTCCTGTCCCGTCCGCCCTCTCTGATGGGTGCATGCGGTCATGGGGAGAGGTTTGCAGCGCTACCTGCGTGCTGGTGAAATGTGCTCAGCTCTGGCTGCTGCTTCTGTCCTAAAGAAACTATTTTGGGTTGAAACTCTGCCTACACATGGTGAGACAGAGGGGCAAGGGGGTTCAGGAAGTGTTTGCTGGTGGGAAGTTGCTGGCAGTCCTGCAGGTCTCAGGCTGGTGTCCTAACCCCTAGGCCACCCCGTCTGACAGCATTCAGGGAGTTTATCTTACAACCAGAGCTCTCCATGGCCTCTCCAGTCCCAGGGAGCCTGCACCCACTCCGTCTCCTCTGTCAGCCTTACGCTGGCTCACAAGTACCCAGCAAACCCATCCATCGCCTTATTCCCAACTACTACCCTGAACCCATGTCTCTGCCTTTCAAGGAACACAAGTCTTGCCCCAGATGAATGACTAACACTGCTTAAGGACCGGATGCGAGTTTAACCCACTGTTTTGCAGACCTGAGTTTCTCGATGAGTAGCAAGGTGGGCATCAGAATAGAGTCCACCTTGGTTGGGAACGTGGTAATATCCAGGCTGAAGGAGAAGCAGGCTCCTTCTGGTCCAACTGTCCTGTCTCTAACCCTGGGCAGTGCCAGCTGCTTCAGAAGAAGACACGAGACCCTTGCAGTAGGCAGACACAAAAGAGCTCGACACCCTGGAGTTGAAAGAGGTTGCATTTGAACTCTGAAACCAAAGTTTGGTCATCTTTGCAATAGTATTATTTTTTAAGGGGTACAGGTTATAGCCAACTTGCTCTAAGCACGCAGGCAGACAAGGTTCTTTGAATAAATCCAATATCTTTTATTAGACCAACTTAAATAGTTGGAAAACTTCTTTTCTTTTTTTGCAAGCTTTCAGGTACAAACACCCTTCTTCAGGCTCAGGAAGCATCTGCAGCAGGTTTGTCCTTCCTGAATCAAATGGTAAAAAATAAATAAAAATGTTTGGAGTTTTTTCTAAGCTTTCATTCTGCTACCTTGCCCTCCACATGAATATCCAGGTCCTCTTGGAGTCCTCTCCAGTTTTGCTGAAAGTACGGTGGCAGCATGGGTATAGTTTCATAGTTTCTAGGGTCAGAAGGGACCTGAGCAGTTCATCTAGTCTGACCCCCTGCCATGGCAGGAAAGAGTACTGCGGTCAAACGACCCCAGCAAGGTGGTCATCCAACCTCCTCTTAAAAACCCCCGGGGTTGGAGCCTGCACCACTTCTCTTGCAAGTTGGTTCCCGATCCTAGCCGCCCTGACTGTGAAGTCGCGCCTCCTGATGTCTAGCCTGAATCTACCCTCTGCCAACTTGTGACCATTATTCCTGGTCACTCCTGGCAGTGCTCGGGGGAACAGGGACTCCCCCAATGCCTGCTGGTCCCCTCTGACTAGTTTATAACAGGCCACTAGATCCCCCTCAGCCTTCTCTTGTGGAGGCTGAACAGGTTCAGGTCCCGTAGCCTCTCCTCATAGGACCTACCCTGCTTCCCCCTGATCATGCAAGTGGCCCTCCTCTGGACCCTCTCCATGCTGTCCACATCCCTCCTGAAGTGCGGCACCCAGAACTGGA